AAATTCAGAAATTCGTTATATTGATGAAAAGGTTACTGCAATGGATAAAAAGGCACACACGACCTTACGGAGAGGCTGAACACTTCAAGGCCACGTAGGCATATTGTGATTGATAGATTTTACTTTGCGTAAACGCTTCGGCTAATCCGTAGAACACTTTACTGAGGCGGGCTTTAAAATGATAGTAATCAAAGTCGCATAAATATTACACTTTTCAGCTTAAGGAGACAAGTTAACATATGTATAAATTTCACAGATGTGATATGCATGTGTACCCACTAACAAAAAGAATATTATTGGGTAACTTAATCAAAGAAGTATAAAGTTTGAAGATTTAGTCTTTTTCAGTTGACTGTAAGGGAGGGATATTAGAGGCAGTTGTGTAATATTTACATTTTGCTGAAGACATACTGTGAAAGATAAATCGGGAGTTTTATAGTTCTTTAAATCTTTCGTGGAATATATGGACTAATCTCATCGATTCTACTATGGTTCCCTCCCTTGTTCAGATATTCATTGTGGCTGAGCGGGGGAATTGTTCAACTGAGGTAAGATTCACTCACGTGATATGTATACATTTTTAGGTATTTCTCAGAGCGGCCTGAGGTGGTCGAAGGAATGCAATCTGGATCTTTGCATGGAGAAATCATAACTGGTTCTTTCTGAGGGATCGGATGGTGCTGAAAGCTGTAAAGACGGGTCCAGTGTCACAATCATCTGAGGGAAAGTGATCCACATGTTGTGGATAAAACGATTAGTGGACTCTAATTTGGCTATGATGTAGCAATAAAAAACTACAACTGTGATTTTCTCACTGAATTGTTGAAAACCCATTTTAACGTGAATATTTACTGTTTGACTGTTGTTATTTTGTATATATATGCATTTATGTCGACTACGTGTGTCTCTCTTAATTATCATTTCGAGAACATTGCATAGTTAACGAAATTGGTTGGGAACAACGTAGTAATACTTGTGTGAAATGCGTCATAATGGTAAACCGTTATTATTTCCTCGGTGCGTCATCAGGCCTCCCATGAAATGTTTCAGTTACATTTAATCCGGTTTCGCATAGTATGAGTATGCATTAGTGTTAAAAACAAAAGAGGGTCAAACATATGTTTGTACTGTAATAACGAAATATAGTAACCCTTTCATTATAATAGAGGTTTTGTATTTCCCAATGAATGAAAAAAAAACAATCTCGTTTTGTTTTTTCATTCATTGGGAAATACGAAAACCTCTATTATAATGAATATCATATACCCAATGCCCAAATTTTTTCAAACCGTTAAAAGTGAACTTGGTTTGGATATATATAATAGTAACCCTTTTGTAAAATACCGTCAAAGTTGTAGATCGTTATAAGTCCTTACGTGTGTGCAACATCTCGGTTACATTCAATCCGACTGCGTAAATGATTACCTCTCATCAGGGCTACCGAAAAATTATACGTTTAGCTTATGTTTGTTATGCGATTACTTACTACATATACAAAATAACAAATGTAGGACGGCTACGTACATCGAAAATTACGTATTATATGTATATCCTATTGAAGAAAATTATCCTAGTATTCTTATGCTGCGCAAATTATCACTTTTTCAAATCAAATCATTACGCATTCCAAAACCGGCTACATCACTATTCCTTCGACAAGCAAAGAGAAGTAGTAGTAAAAGAACATCGTTAAAAATTTCAAGGAATATTTATTTTGATAAATAATTTTATTATAGTATCACAAAGATTCCAACGTTAACACGCAAATTCTTCAATAGCACTTCATCGAAGCATCCAAATAGTAAAGTCAATCATTCCGTAAATTACAATTCTAACCTGCGAATCAACAAGAGTGAAACATCTGTTACCAAACAAATAGCAATGAAAACCACTGCAAACTAAGTTACTTTTTAAGATAAAAACTTTGTTTATTAACTGTTATCTTACGAATAAATCAACTAACACACCTTTATGGCTGTAGACTCTTCTGAATGTTACCAAGTTTTCATATCTCAGAGATTCAAAACACCACTTCAGAATTTCGCAAAACATACTTCAATTACCTAGTTAGTTTGGTATTTCTTGACGTAATCAACAATTTACACAGAGTTTTAACATTCCACATGCAAAGAAACAACGAAATTCGATGACAGATACATGTTCACTCAAACTGCTTCCAGTGTATACTTTCCACCATTTTTCTAGGTTATTTTTCGTTAAAATATGGTATTTATAATGTATTTCAGTTGAAAAGCACCTGAAAACAAGGTAGAATTACCCAAACGCAACATCGCAATGACACATAACGACACCCCGCGTGTGCCTTTATCCATTGACAAAGGTTATTTGTTTATAACGTTAAAGTCCGCGGCTACAAATTATCAATATAATCGAAGGGAGCGTTGGAATGCGTCTGCTGGTAGATGCTGTGGACCGGTTGTAGAGTTGTTTTCGGATAAGGATAATAGACTCCTGCAATAAATCCAAAGTATACAACACAGTATGAGTGGAGCAAGTAAGAAGAAATGGTCAGAGAGAAGGCGAAGCTTCCAACAGTATAGTGTATTTCCTATTGTATTTTAACAAGTATGGTTTTAAACAGAAATCATGTACAATGTCTCCAATTTCTACAACTAACAAAAAGTGTACAATCATATTTTCACGTACTCCACACGGCTCCCCCTCCAAGAGGTCTGGAGGGACTACCGGAAACTGTTACTGTTAGTGAAGTAAATAATAATGGTATTAACAATCATTAGTGAGACAATCTCGGAAAAAAATGGCAGTATAATTAGCTCACAGGATAGACGACTGGATCGTTGGAAAGAGCATTATGAGGAGCAGTTTAATTTGCCCACAGCCACGCTCAACCTTCCGAGCATCCAACACCTCCCTGAATGGGATATAAACACAGGTCCTCCATCCCTAATTGAGGTTACTAAAGGTGTCACCAATCTGAAACTAGGCAAAGCAGCGGGACCTGATGGAATGACTCCAGAGGTATTTAAGTACGGTGGAAACAGCTTACTGTCCGGATTAACTGAGGTACTAGGCAGCGTCTGGGAATCAGAAGAAGTCCCATCGGGTTGGTGTAAGTCACTGATTATCCCCATATACAAGAAGGGAGACAAGTCTTCCTGTGATAATCACAGAGGGATCAGCTTGACTAATATAGTATCTAAAGTCTTAGGCTCAATAATCATGCGTAGACTGAGTGGTGCTCGGGAAGCACAAACACGAGAGAGCCAGGCAGGCTTTAGACCAGGAAGAGGGTGTATTGATCATATCTTCACCCTCCGACAGATTCTAGATCATAGGCATTCCTACCGGCGTCCAACAGTCATTATATTTCTTGACCTAAAGGCAGCATTCGACTCTGTCGATCGGGAAGTTCTCTGGAGATGCTTGGCTGTAAAGGGAATTCCGAGAAAATATATCGCACTGATTAAGGCACTCTATTCGTACTCATACAGCCAGGTGAGGGCTTACGGCGAGCTGTCATCTGAACTGATGACGACCAGTGGTGTCCGTCAAGGATGCCCATTATCCCCTTTTCTATTCAACTTCATCATAGATGTGTTAATGGACTTAACCCTAGGTGACTTCAGCGATTCAGGGATTGATTCGCTACCGGGGAATAATCTCGTTGACTTGGAATATGCAGACGATATAGTCCTTCTAGGCGAAGACGCTGACGAAATGCAGAGTCTTCTAAACACCTTGAACAGCAATCTACGAATGTTTGGCATGCGATTCGCTCCCGCCAAATGCAAGATGATGTTACAGGACTGGACTACATCGACGCCTAGTTTAAAAATAGGAAGTGAAGTGGTAGAGCACGTTGACCGCTTCACTTATTTGGGAAGTACCATCAGCCCCAACGGGCTGATCTCTGACGAAATCTCAGCACGAATACAGGGGGCTCGTTTCGCATTTGTTAGTTTACGCCGTCTCTGGCGTAGACGAGATGTTCGACTATCGACCAAAGGGCGGGTGTACTGCTCATCAGTCCGCTCCGTCCTCCTTTATGGTTGTGAGACCTGGCCACTGAGAGTGGAAGACATGAAAAGACTAGCTGCCTTTGATCATAGGTGCCTGCGTTCTATTTCCCGTGTAAAGTGGCATAATAAGGTGAGCAACATGGAGGTTAGGCGTCGAGTTCTAGGTAAACAGGGGAAATCAATCGACGAAGTCGTGAAGCTACATCGACTGAGATGGTTAGGACATGTGTTACGTGTGCCAAGTCATCGCCTCCCTCGACGAGCTATGTTAGCGGATATAGGGTCAGGCTGGAAAAGAGCTAGCGGCGGTCAAACAAAAACTTGGCACCAGTCAATGAAATCCACAACAGTTGGTCTTAGCCACGTAGGAAGGTGTAGACTTCCAGGCTGGGGTCCTCGGGACGGTAAAAATCTATGGTTGGAAACAATTGGTGACATGGCTCAAAATCGTTCTCAGTGGCGCAGATGCATCCACTCCCTGTGACTTATGATCTTCAATGAAATTGTTTTGTATTTCTTTATTACTCCTTTGTCTCACACCTCTGCTCTCTGTTTCTATTATGCTTTTCTTGTACTTTCTTCTCTTGCTTCGCGTGCTACACGGAATGTGGCGACTTGAACTTCCGCACGTTTGTGCAAAGTTCTATGTCGAAAACAGACAGACAGACAGATTAACAATTTTAGGATAAAACTAAGGACACATAATAACATGCATGTACGCGAAAGGTATTTGAATCATGTAAAGTCTGAACGCATATACAAATAGTTCAACAACAAAAATTGAAATAGAAGGTCATGTCAATTAAATGAGGTCGGTCTCTCATTTGCTCAAACTGTGAACGAAGACTTTTAATGTGTAAAGTAGGACATGTATATACACACATTAATCGTCTCATCGTTCGCTGTTCAGTTGAAGATAAAAAACTATCAAAAGTATTATCGTGATTTATTGTTAAAAAATTGATTCTTAGACCTTGTGTAATAAAGTTACTGTTGGTTACGTGTTGGCGTAAGAATAATGGATTCTTCAGCCGCCAATCAGTGTTCTGGTTTTCGCGTCCGTTAATACAAAGTGTTTCTGAAAGACTTCGAGGGACAGCGTGGGCTTCAGCGTAGTAAGAGCTGGACGTTGACAGTTTATGAGAGTTGGCTGACAGTTTCTGATAGTTTTTGATAGTCTCTTTTCGTCTTTCCTGGTGACTGAAAGTCTTCTTTGGACAAGTGTTATCTGGGACTTTTCTGGAATTTTGGTCAAGTTCAATGATGCCTGGGTCAAAGAAGGGAGGAAGCGTTCTGGAAGCAAGCACGAAAGTGAATAAGGCTGAGTTGATTGTTAATTGTAATGATATGTATGATGCTCAGCATCATGAGTCTGTCGTTCATGTTTCCCAGTCTACGGATATTAGGCCCAAATTTGAACCTCGGTGTTTCGACGGAAACCCAGCTGACTATGTACAGTTTGTAAAGGAGTTTGAAATAATGTTGAGTAGTTTTTTGTTAAATGACGAAATGAAGTTGATGTATTTGATGAGGTACTGCACTGGAGTTGCTTCAAGAGCTATACAGTGCTGTAAGTTCATGGCCCCTAACTAAGGATACTGTGATACTTTGAGTATACTGCGTCAAAGATTCGGAAGACCTTCGATGATTGTAAAGAACGTATTCGAGGCTGTTAAGGGTAGTGGTCTTCAATTACAAGATGAGTCCAAGGGACTCTCTGAGTTTTTGGATAATCTGATGACTTTCAAGAATACGTTGATTTCGATGAATTGCATGAGTGATCTGAACTCAAGTTCCGTCCTAGAGGTAATAGCGAGACGCCTACCTACTCGACTGCAACGGAATTGTGTGAAGGTTAGCTCTCGTATAGAGGATGAAGGTATTGAGCCAAAGTTCGGTGATATTCTGGAACTGGTAAAAGATAGTGTCAATCAAGCTATGAGGAAGTTTGCCAGTATGTTGCATGCCACTCCTAGAATAGATCAGTCTGAGAGCGAAACGCGATCATTTATGACGAAAAGGTCTCAGAGAAGCGGATATCGAGAACGCTTTATGGTGTCTGGTAATCCGTATAAACTGAGTGAGTGTAACACCTTTCGTGAGACGTCCCTAACGGATAGGTTACAAGATGCGAGACAGACACGGTTGTGTTTCACACGTCTGCAGGAAGAGCACACATAAACGAACTGTGAATCAGTGAGCAAGTTTAATGATAAGCTAAATGTGAAATCAGCGTCATATAGTTCTGACTACGAATTGTGTGACGATAATGGTGCGGTGAAGAAGCCTGTAGTTGCAGCTGGTAAGCCATTGTTGAATAGAGTGTCACAGACGACACCGCAGTTTGTGCAGGAGAAGAGAGTTACAGTTTCAGAGTCCAGTTCTGACTCCACAAGTTTACAAGGTATTACTAGTCAGAGGTAAAGGTGCAAAACCTTTAAGAATTTGTGAGGAAGAACCCAAATTAGCTACTGCTGTTATGAAAGAGTTTGAAAATGATGAAGTTGATCATACAAACTGTGGTAAATCGGATATTTTAGACCGTGTTCATGATGGTGCACTTTTGTCTTTGGTTGATCATGATGAGATGAGTGGTGTATGCCTACTACTACTGAGTTGAATAAAAGTTCTGTACAACTTGAACGTGTAGTAGAATTAAGAGCAGATACAGTGGTAGAAGGTATGGATACTCATGAGACCGTCAGTGAAAATGATCAGTGTGTAGCCCACTTATCAACAGATGTTGACACTTAACTGGATCCAATAACAAAAGACAGCAGTGCTGGTAGACAACCTACTAAAAGCCGAACAACAACAGCTTCTGATCCACCGCTAAGTTCATCACCAGGTGTCGATCAGTCGTCGTTGGTGTTGTCATCCACAATGAAAAGGACGTCCATGAACTCACATAGCTTATGCTATGACTATGCTAGTACAGGACCGTTTGAAAAGATGAAAGATATTGGTCAGTTTAATGAGGATAAGCCAACTGTGTATGAGTTTAATTGTTAAACTGACTTGCACGAATAAAGGCATTTCAAGTTAGTATTTGAATGTTTTTATCTTTGGGGTAAATTACTCTTCACCTACGCTTGGTTGGTCAGATACGTCGTGTGTTTGTTAGACATCTATATTCTACGATACAATGACATGGGCGTGTCACCGTTCAGAGTTGAGGATATAGATGATGGAAGGAGGTCACCAAATGAACTCTTCGACGACTTTCCAAACTAGGGCGTCAACCTGAGAAGGGTTGAAGGAGTACTGCTGTAAGTCCTACAATTCTTCACAGGAAGGGCATCGGTGAGCGGCCCAACGTGCTTAGAATGTTATTTTGTACATATGTTCATACTGTATATACTGAATAGCTTTCGTCTCTCATCTATCTGTTGGTAACTTTGTTTTTGTCCGGACTTATTTCAATTGTATCATCAACATGAGAAGGAATGTAGGCGTACTGGTGTAAGTCCTACAGGTCTTCAAAGGTAGTACTTCAAGGCAGAATGCACAACGATATCGTTGAACTTCGACACAAAATCGTCATACTTTATACTTCTTTGATTAAGTTACCCAATAATATTCTTTTTGTTAGTGGGTACACATGCATATCACATCTGTGAAATTTATACATATGTTAACTTGTCTCCTTAAGCTGAAAAGTGTAATATTTATGCGACTTTGATTACTATCATTTTAAAGCCCGCCTCAGTAAAGTGTTCTACGGATTAGCCGAAGCGTTTACGCAAAGTAAAATCTATCAATCACAATATGCCTACGTGGCCTTGAAGTGTTCAGCCTCTCCGTAAGGTCGTGTGTGCCTTTTTATCCATTGCAGTAACCTTTTCATCAATATAACGAATTTCTGAATTTTTTGATAATATATATTTACCCCATCATCTCATTGACTTGGATTTTTATTTGGATATTTGTAAAGTTAATGAGCTCTTCTTATAGTCCTCTACACAGCTATGTTTAAGAAAGAGGTGTATTCATTTCGACAGCATAACACAAGTCTATTATAAATGACTTAATTCTCAGAATCAAAGGAAAAGCTTATAGCAGTCTCAGAATCATCGGAAGAATATCAAGTTTCTGGACAAAAGGAACCCAAAATTTATACCAATTTTCCTAGGGGGTTTGGTGAGTATAACAATAATACCTCAATTTCCTACAGTTATACATTTACCTAGGGAAGTTCACGGTAATGTAATATGGTACAAATTTACTTCTCAAACATAAAAATCAATAAAATATTTCACTAGACTATTGAAATACAATACAATAAATAATTCCAAACCAACTGTCTTTCCCTCCTGGGTTCTCAATAGTTTTCTAACTGAAGTCAGATCACGGTAACTTTGAAAATAAATCAGATTTTGAAATAATAGAGAAGATTTGTAGCTCAGGTGGATGATTTGCAATGAATAGTGTTCTCTGAGCTGGTTGATTTAGTTGTGGAGCTTTCGTCGTCCTTCTTTCTGGACAACATCCCCGCAATTTTTAGCATAAAGTGAACCGATTTAAATTTTCCATGAGTGATAGAATCGCGTCTCCCTGCAACCATCTTTATATGTGTATTGACCATTTTCTATTGACTTGGGTTTTAAACTTTCTGGTCACATGATTTACTTTTTATTAGTTGGTATATTTTGTCTAAATTAACGTGTTTGTTAATTGCTGATTCGTTTGAGTACCAGGCTTCTAGGAATTCCATGACTGAACTTTTGGTGTTTCCTCTGTCTAAAATCTCGACATCATCCCAATCAAAATGATGCTTTGATATGAAAGAGTATATACCATGTCTTTTCACAGGTGATTTGTATTCCTGGATTTTGATTCAAAAGGGACGCCTGCATATCATCAAGTGTAAAACATATCAGAATCTCATCATGAGCTGACATCAGTTAGAGAACCATTGAAAAACCTGGGAGTACTGGACAGCTGTTTCTTCCTAGTTTGGGACTCTTCAGCAGTACACATCCACCGGGATTCGAACCCAACGCCAGTGAGCATCTCATTGGTATTTAAGTGTTGGATTTTAGGGCGACTGGCCCTATTCAGTAGGTAGTTACCTTATATTCCAGTGGGAAGTCGTGACCAGTAGGGTGCAGCGGGTCGGGTGTGAGGACAAATACTCGCCGAAGACATTGGCTAGCGGTCGCGCTATGTCGTGAATTGGCAGAAGTTGGAATTCAGGGACCATTGGATCGGGTCCCAGTGGCTTGATGGTATACCAGCTCGCCTTGTAACCGGAAGGTCCTGGGTTCGAATCCTGTCGGTGGGTGCGTGCTGCCGAAGAGTCCCAAACTAGGACGAAACAGCTGTCCAGTACTCCCTGCAGGTTTTCCAATGGTTCTCTAAGTAATGTCAGCTCATGATGAAATCCTGAAATCAATCAGATCCCTACAAATCAACACCTAAATATCAGAATCTTAGTCCACTGATGATTTTATATCAGTAGCCTAAAAAGTAGTAGTAATAATAAGGTTAGTTATACAAAACCAATATCAAAATCGAGAGATATTCAAGTATTGTTTTGTAGGGATTTGGTTGATTGGTTACAGGATTTCATCATGAGCTGACATTGGTTAGAGAACCATTGGAAAACCAACCAGGGAATACTGGAGAGCCGTTTCGTCCTAGCTTGAGGGAATCTCATTTACTATCCTCACTCATTATTAACAATTTTTTCATATAAAACACGAAACTAATTGGGACTTAACTCAAATAATCAAAATAATACGTGATTGATTGTGCCGACAGCTTGAATTGGATTCTTCATGGCTTATCTATACAGTAAAGTAAAAAGTAAAAGAATATTTCTACTTTGCATATGATTTATTTGCATTTTACAGAAAATCCACTCAACTTCTGGAATTTTATTGTAAAAAAGAAAAAAGAGAACTGCAGAAGAGTGAGTGAGCTATATGTGTATATAATACAAACTAAACTGATTGATAAATGAAGCAGCCCCGAAAACAAGTAGATTAAGTTGAATCAAATAGAGAAGTTATAATGAAAAGGAAAGCAAATAATTGATTTTGTGTTAGAAAAAAGACTCCAATATCTTTACTTTTTTATAACTTCACTTGAAATAAATAAATAATGCAGTTCTTATCTGTTTGTTTTGACTCATACTGAGTAACTAATTCACATTCATGGTTCAATAATAATTCCCATAATTTAAGCTGTTGGTAAGATGACATCATAAACCAGCTTAGCTCAGAATAGTCTTCACATTCAACAATTTGAAAACAATTAGGCAGAATATTTGCAAAATGCGCGTTTAATTCATTAAAACATCTTAACAACTTTTGATTATTACACTTTGAGAGTATAATTTTACCTTGATGAGGTGGGGATATGTTTATTTCTAACATTATGCAAGAGTATTTCTTGTACATCAACCTGTTCTTTGATGGATCATCACCTTGAATTTCGTCATCATTTTGATAAAATGACGAATTGGCTGTCGAATAATCTCGAGAGTACGATATTCCCGTATCACCAATTTCACTTCTGTAACTGTATGATTCATTCAGGTGTGATTGATTTAGACTATCGATTTTCAATTGCTTTCTTGGTGTACATTGTGATTCTTTCTCATTTGCATGAATCTTCTGGTCTTTTTTTTCTTCTATAAATTGTTCAAACTGACTGACATCTCTTCTTTTTAGCCTACCTTTAATTTGTTTCAACTGACAAGTCATCTCATATAAGCCATAGAAGTTTGCTTCTTCAATTAACTGATCCATTTCTGTAAAATGGGGATCTAAGTTCACTTTATCAGTTCGTAAGAAGTTAAGCACATGTCTGAAAAGAGTTCCATCACGATCGATAAAATAGTGCTGTTTCATTGTATCTAAAACAATAGGAATTGTTCCATTGAACATTTTTCCCAACAGTGATTTTGGATACCTATTTCATTAGAAAAATACAACAAATTTTAGAAAGAGAATTTTGTAAATAACTTAGGATATATATCTCTTTGGGCAGTAAAATAAACAATTTCACTTTTATGATGCATTTATTATGAGAAGCAGTCGACAAATACACTTCAATCGGTAAATATATTTCAGCTCAGGATATTTAAATGAGATTAAAGTATTATCAATAGAACGAGATAAATTGGTAAGGAATTTTATTATTCAAATATTGTAGTTACGATTCACAGAGTCCTTTAAAAACTAAGCCCCTTATCAGAAGGCAATACTTCACACCAATTACTTCCATTCAGAGTTTGGTTTTAAGAATCCCAATTTGCATAGAATGAGAATAAATCATTCCATTCATAAGTCAAATAATTAAGTGTTTTCACATATTTTATTGTGCACCGGAGGCACAGAGGAACAATGCTCGCTAACCACGCTTGGAATGGTCCAAGGGTTTTATTCCCGGCCGTCGCACTCCTTTACCTCGCTAAGCCAGTAATAAGACTGGTAAAGAGGGAAGTTTGGACATGAGGCTAGTAAATCTATCACGTCAAAATAAGACCACTGCTAACGTAACATCAAGGCTCTAGCTTGAAGTCTTATGTTCCACTGAGAACGCAAAGGAACAAAAAACATATTATATAATCATTATTCCCTCGGGTTCCGAGTGGAACATAGAGCTGCAACAACATACCTCCTTTTTTGTCCAATTCTCTTCTGTCCTCTTTAACTGGACCCAAGATTCCTCATAATCTCGCAACTTCTCCATGTCACTTTTGAAATGATGACCCACTTGTCGCTTCTCATAGGGATTACACTTGAGGTATGGCCTGGTGCGTGATGTCATTCGACAGCCTCTTCAAAGTATATCCGATCCATCTCCATTTTATGCTACATATTTGTTGAGTGATCGACTGTTGGTTGGTTTGTTTCCCACCAGATTTCCTTGTTGCTAATCCTTTCTGGCAGTGTGGAGCTAGCGAGCATCATCCTGGAGAGAATCAAACAACCAGCCATGGATGGGAAACTTCGACCGGAACAGGCTGAATTCAGGAGAATCAAGTCATGCATATGTCAAATCGCAACACTACGGATCATCATTGAACAGAGCTTGGAATGGAAGTCACCTCTCTATCTCAACTTCATTGACTTTGAGAAGGCCTTCGACAGCGTCGACCGAGAGGTGATTTGGCAACTACTTCGCTACTGCGGGGTGCCGCTGGCAATTATGCATCTCATTCAACAGTTGTACGACAATACTGCATGTTAATTAATCCACAACTGGAAACTCACGGAATCCTTCGGAGTGAAGATGGGAGAAAGACAAGCTGGCTGCCTACTATCACCAATGATTTTTTTGATTGTGGTAGACCGGATAATGTGACACACCGCGGTGGCGAGGAAACAGACATTAAGTGGACCCACACAAAAAACTTGGATGATCTGAACTTCGCCGATGATATATATATATATGTCTCATTTCCCACAAACTGGTAGATATGCAAGTGCAAAGCAACAAGTTGGCAGAAGAAGCATCCAAAGAAGATAGGACTTCAGGTGAACATAGAGAAAACAGACGTGATGCATATTCCTGGCCAACAACAAGAACAGACACTATTCATCATAAATGGGAGAAATCTGAAAGAAGCAACCTCCTTTACCCACCTGGGAAGCATCATTTCAACTACAGGTGGACAGAATTGATGAGGATATCAAAGCGAGGATCGGGAAAGCAAGGTAAGCTTTCATTACTCTCAAGTCTGTGTGGAGGTCAACGGGACTCAGAGACTTGGTGGCACGTCATGAAGAGCACCTCAAACAAACTACGGACCTTCATCAACAGCTGTCTTCGCCTTATACTAGTCAAGATCAGATGGCTGGCCGGAAAAAATCAGCAACAGAGATCTCTGGCAATCAGCGAACCAACCCAGCAGGAACCGAATGTACAAAAAATGTGCAGGAAGAAATAGAGGTGGATTGGGTATACCCTGAGAACACAAACCATCAAGTGACACGGCACGTCAGGCCAACGCTCGAAGGGAACCCGAACGGAAAGCGGTGAGTTGGTCATCAGTGCAAGTGTGGGGTGATATGGAGGAGGTCATGTGAAGAGGAGATGAAAGCTTGTGGGCTGGCAGGGAGCCAGGTGTAAACGTTGGCAGAAAAACGAACGCAATTGGTACGTGCTGATGAAGCTGTATGTTCCTCTAGGAATTATAGGGAACAATAATAATAATGGCACATGCGAAGGCAGCTGTTAATAAAAGTCTATAACTTGTTGGAAATTCTTTTTGTGACACGCTAAATCTCTGACCCGTAAAGAATGACTGACTTCACATTTGTGTTGAAAATCCGGATGGTGTTCTGAATGCTGTGGGGTTCTGAAGACTTCGAAACTGGTTTCAGGTTGGTGACGAAATATCTTGCCTTTATAAATGTTTACAGATAAGTTACTTTGAGTCTCCTGTTTAACACACCTTCCTGTTCACTGATAAAAATGAAATTTAAGGATCATCGCCATTCAGTCAACTCAGAACGGTGGGGAAAGAAAAAATACCTAATAATGCGTGACAGCTTAACGGCTATATCATATATATATATATATATATATATTGTATATATATGCACTTCATGATTAAAATTTTGAAATTATTATGTTATTCAGATACCGCTTACATATCGCCAGATTACCCCAAACAAGGAGTCTACAACTCCCTACGTGACTGGCTTGAACTAACTGTTGTGGTTTCATTGACTGACGCCATGATTCGGTTTGGCTACCAGTCGCTCCTTTCCAACCTTATCCTACGTCAGCTAACATTTTATGCCGAGGAAGGTGATGGCTAGACATGCGTAACACATATCCTAACCATCTTAATCGATGTAACTTCTTAACTTCTTCGATCAATTTTTCCTCCCTACCCAGCAATCTACGCCTAACTTCAATATAACTCACCTTATCAAAACACTTAACAAGGGAGATAGAATGCACCTATGATCGAAGACAGCTAGCCTTTCCACGTGTTCCTCTTCTATGGCCATGTCTCACAGACAAAGAGTTAGACAGAGCGAACTGCTGAGCAGTGCGCACGTCCTTTAGTAGACAGCTAAATATCCCGTCTACACCAGAGATGACGTAAGTTGGCATATACCAAACGAGCCCTTCTTATCCATGCTGAGATTTCGTCAGCGATCAACCTGCTGGACCTGGCTGAATCAACTTCCCAAATAATTGAAGTGATCAACATGCTATACCACTTCACTGCTTATTTCTGAGCTAAGAGTCAATGTAGTCCAGTCCTGCAGCACCATCTTACATTTGGTGGGAGAGGATCGCATGCCAAACATTCTCAAGCTCAAGGTGTTCAGAAGACTCTGCTGTATTTTGTCAGAGTATTCACCTAGGAGTGAGGACTATATCATCTGCATATTTCAAGTCAACGAGATTATACCCTGGTGGTAACAAGTCAATCTCTAAGTCGCTTAAGTAACTACATAACTACACACACACACACACACAAATTCAACTACACACAAGATTATAACGATATAAAAGAATTATGTCTAATCTTATAAGACCCTAAGACGATGAAGATGATGTTGCAACCAACCACCTCAAGGCATTACCCTTCATCATACATCCAATTAATCAGTCTATATCATTTAGAAGCACAATTTATTTCAGCATCTTTTAATAAGGTATTTCCCCTTCTGTTTAACATTTATATATATAGTAAACGTTTATTTCCCCCATTTTATGGAATTCCTCATATATATATATATATATATATATATATATATATATATATGCGCGCTCACTTTGATGAATATTTCGGACTATTGGAATTGAATTATTTTGCAAATGCGTGAAAATTCACCGTAATTTAACCTAAAGTTACTCGTTATATCTAAGCGCTTATCATTTGTAGCTGCTTTTTTACTTCCCTGCATTACACTAGTTAAGATTGCCTCAGGCTAGACATTTGATCAAAATCAGCCTTGAGCTATCTAACCTTTTTGATGAGAAATCCGACTGTTTGTGTGCGTGTATGTGTGCATAGTACTTTAGCATGTAAAACAGAAATTAGGCAAAAAAAAATAACAAACTTAATAACTTTTAGAATACAAGTTCATTTAAGCCGAAATAATAATATCATATTTTAAAGACAAGCTTTTTTGATGAAATATTTTTGTTTTCAAATATATCTGATTTAAGAGGAATACTTCTCTCAGAAATAATAAAAAGAAGAATTTTATTTATTTGTTTTAGTTTAGACACTTAGGTCTTATACCTTTCGGCAGATTAAAATGTAAACCTCAAATGAGGTGACTACGGAACAAAAACCGTTAATTCCATATTAGTCTGTTTATTCGATGTATCACACAGTCACAGAAACAGTATAAGTATTTACTGGATGACAAAGTTTCGAACACAATTTATTACTGTTCATAATCATTTTATCAATTATATACCACACAACTTTGAAACTTGAGTTTTATAGTTTTCTTTTTCCTCTCCTATTTGTCACCGTTCCAGATATCTTGGTGCAGAGGAGTTGAATCACTCCTATTACACGTGTTTACAGTTGACTCGATCGATAAACAAAGCTTCCGCTGTCATCCTATCCCATCCTATTGTATGGTCGTGTGCAATTTCATGTAGTCAGTGCTATAGCTGAATTATTCTCTAGATTTCTTATCTTATTCGGGTCAACTGATCTAGATATTGCTACGTTTTATGCTCGGCTAGTCCGACTGACTGACCCCGTTCTACTACTTTGACTGGTGTATTTGACCTGACAATCATCTCAGGCAGGGTATTAGATAGACTAAATTGTTTTGTTTTAAAGACTCCACAGGATTGATTCAATAGCGGACAAAGCTTGTTTCTAATTGAGTTTGTGGATGGTTTGAATACCAGCCACTTTTATTCCTGGATTGTTAAGAATTCTGCATAAGGTTTCCGAGGTTCATTCCTTGTATGGAATTACTACTGATGATTTCCATTCGTTATTGTTGGTGTTGTCTTGCGCATATTTGACATGCCTGTCGTCATTAATATTATTATTATCACTTTGACTACTATCATTGTTTATTTTAACATTTCCTTACACACTTTCTGACTAATTTATCTATATTAAGTTTCAAGGTTTCTCTTATATATAAATCACTCCCTGTCTTAGGTTTTCTTTGATACTACATAGTACCATAAATGTTGTTTAGCGAAATTTTAGCGTTTTATTTTAATTTTATTTGTACTTTCTTAATAGTTGAACGTTAATTTAAAAATAATTCCTCATCGGGAATAGATATGAATTGCAAAAGAACTGAAAGTTCACAATATATTATAGACAATGTCATACAATTTGACACTGATTAAAAAGTCAATCGAAGAATATTCTTTTCAATAATTTCTCCTCTTCACGT